GTCATTGTTTACATTCAAACTGTTTACTTGTACATTGTCTACTGTTTGTTTGTATGTTGTCTTGATGCACTGTCTGCACTTTGTATTTTTACACTTGTTTAAACACTCGAGAGACTTTCTGTCAGTAAGAATCCCATTGTATCAGTACGTGTACCGGTTACATACAGTATGGCAATAAAGTTCAAGTTCGAGGTCAAGAGATGGAGAACAGAAAGAGATTGGGTAATTAAGAGGATGAGGGGAAGCATGGTGGTGCAATGCTCAGCACAGCCGCCTCGCAGTGAGGGGACCCTGGGTTCAATTCAGGACCTGGGTTGCTGTCTGTGTGGAGTCTGTATGTTCCCCCCATATCTGCATGGGTTTTCTCCACAGCGCAAAGACATGGTGGGAAGTTAATTGGCTCTTGGGCAAACTTTAGTATGAGTGTGTGTCTATGGGCGCCCGGCACTGGACTGGTGTCTTGCTCCTATTGCCTGCTGGGATAGGTCCCGGCTCCACCGCGACCCTGTACTGGATGAAGCGGTTAGAAAACGGTTGAGTAGATGGATGATGACGAAGAAGAACAGAGGAGATCTGGAACAAAAGTCCAAGGAAGGTGGAAGAAGGAGCAGAGCACTGATGAAGACAACCAGAAGAGAGGAATAATAGGGCAGGAGGCCGACTTGAATGAGGACCTCAGCTGGAGGGGACAAGCTGAAGACTCTGTCTCGAGAGTTTTGGGGATCTCCGCTGTAGGAGCGCGAGGCGAGACCCAGATCTGCTCTCTTCATCAAGCAGTTAGTTTCCTGCATGTACTGTGAAGCAACAGCTCTGTCTTCTGGGCATTTTGCAACTCACCTCCCAGCCAGCACCCCTCCCACACAGCATGACATCGCAGAACAGGCTGGAGAGTCTTGCTGGGAACTGTTCCTCCATAGTTCATAGTTCGCCTGCCCCGCCTGAAAGCCACAATAGAGACATAGAGTCTCTTTCACTGCAGGTCAGCGTTTCTATAAATCAGTTCTGAGTCTACGGTATCTTGCTGGCAATAGTTCAGCAAAGCACAAGCATTCAGCATATACTGTATCCATCCATTTTTAGCCTATTCATTCAATTTAGGAAGCCGGAGCCTTTCCTGGCAAGCGAAGAGTGCAAGGCAGGGTACGCCCCGGGATGGGATGCCAGTATATCATGGAGCACTCACTGACACACAATCACACCAGGGCCAGTTCTCCCAGAAGCTAATTAACCAACCAGCATGTCTGTGGACTTTGGGAAGCAGCTGGAGTAGACGGAGGAAAAACAAGCTAGCACAGGGAGAAGACACAAGCTCAGACAGCACCCCAGGTCTGGATTTGATCTTTGGACCCCAGCACCGTGAGACAGCACTGCATAATGGGCTCTGAATTGTGCAGATGCCCCATGCCTGTCAGTCCTATGAGCCTGACAGAGATCCCCATTCGCCGAGAATCATTCTTATACATTAAGGTGTTGTCATTCTCCAGAACCAAGAAATCTGTCCCCAGGGAGGGACGCAGCTCTGTCATCATTCATACTGCGAAATCCTAGTGCTCACTGAGTGAACTCTGACCAGGTCACTTGCACCAATCTGTGGTCCCGGGGGAGAGCGGCTGTCTCTGTGTGAGAGGTGTGGGCAATGCGTCACAGCTTCGTAACTCAAGTTTTGCACCCTATAATCTTCAGGTCAGCTTCCCCACCCTGAGCACGATGAGTAGGGGCTTGGTCACCAAGACATCCAGCTGGCTTCCTGTGAGTCAGCTGAATAGAATAGAGGACTCCTCAGTCCACCTTCACATTGATGGAAAGTTGCTATGGTGCACATGGTTGTCCTGGCCCTGTCCTGCACTCAGGGCTTGGTGTGGGGCCACAAACCGTGCTGATCTTCTCTGGTCTTTGGCATCTCTGCTGAAATGTCCTTCTAGATCAGGAAGGGG